TATAAAGGTTCCCCTAGTAATCTCTGTTCTGCCTTGCTATTATGATTTTATCATCTTTATTACCCCATAAATTGATCCCTGTCTGAACTGATCGATCCAAATATTTCCCACGAGGACTTAGCATTGGATTAATATAAGCTAATTTTCCGGCCCAGATATCTTTTTCCTGCAACTCACGAGGTGCTTCGTCGTCTTGCGTTTTCGTGACTGCCTTATAGATCCAGTAAGCGATGACGAATAAGAACGACTCGGCAAATACTACTAGTGAGTATAATACGGGGACAGTCATCATTTCAATGGCCGAAGAGAATCCCTGCAATGCCTGGAAGTTAAGAATGGTCATTGCCAGGATGCCATTCTGGACACCAGTTTCAAATGCGATGGTACGACACTGCTTGTGGGGACGTCTTAGTAACCATGGCAACAGGTACCCGACGAAAAGCGCACATAGGGGATAAATCACTGACACCGCATATGCTCGCCATCCAGACTCGTAAATGAGCGGAAAAGCAAGAAGAGTAAGCACGAAGAAAACGACCATGGCAATCAATGTCGCGAAACTACAAACCTGTTGTGATGAAAAAAAGTGGCTAAATTAGAATGAGAGTGAATTGCAATAAAGTGTACTCTACATAAATTGTGACGATATGAAAAACCGTGCAATTTATTATATAAAATTATATAAAAATAACATGATAATTGTTGATACATACCAAACCTACAATTTTCGCGGCTTTCTTAAATTTCCATCTAACCAACATTCCAAATATGCAAGGAAAGACAATAGTGACCAGAGCTATTATTATCTCAACATATGGAATTACAGCGTCTGCCAAAGAGTGCCAACTACGGGTGTACAGAAATAAACACCACGGCATCATAGCCACAGCAAACAGGGTGGAAAAGGCTGTCATACTCACACTGTTAATGGAAACAAATAAAAAGAATGTTTTTATTTATTTAAATTTGTGGAGCCTGGTGTAATTTCTTTTTGTACTTTTACTGAAAAAGAGAGACTTGAGTATATCACAAATATGTGACAGGCACACCCATAGCATTTTAACCAACTTTACCTGAGAGCAATGTCTCCCTCTGTCCAATATGTCAGTATATTGGAATTGATTCCACCAGGGCAGCAGGCAATAAGAATAGTACCAATCGCTAGGCCTGGTGACAAATCGAATGCATGTGCCAGAGCAAAACCGATCAGAGGCATCAATCCAAACTGGCACACGAAACCAATAAACAGTCCAACAGGTCTAATAAAAATATACTTCAGATCTTTCAGTGTAAGTGTACATCCCATGGCAAACATCATGACGACGAGCGCTACGGTAATGTTAATTTGGTTCCCCAGTACTAGGTTTTGGGGTGGTCCTTGCTGACATTGTCGTGGCATCGGTCCTTCACCGTTAATAGCGAATGCACTGCAGTTGATGGGCTCGGCTGAGCTCTCAGGTACAGGCGTTGTGTCCATAATGGCAGACTGTTATCGACACTGGGGGGTAAAATGTAGAACGAAACCAATTCTTAGTTAAAGTAATTCTACTTATAAATTTTTTTGTAATTTTGTTATAAATTGTAATCTACGTTTGTTGGTATAATCTGTTTCAACATATTATTTGATCTCTATGTTTAGAAAATTCAATAGAACACAATGTTAAAGTAATATAATATATTTAATCAGTGTGTCATCTTGAAATTGCATTTTTTATATTTATTTAAAACCCAGAAGTAGTTCAGTGTTTG